AGAATTTTAGATTACGTTCCGGCGATAGTAGAATGGACAACAGAAGAAGATTCATGAGAAATTCAGAGAGTGGTTATTCAGGAAGACACTTCCCTAAAGCAAGCAATATGAGCAAAGTTAAGCTTAAGGGACTGTATGTGCCAATTATACTAAGTGTCACCATCGCGAGTAAGGAATTTCGTTATCCTTGGTACAGAAGGATTACCGCGAGGCGAGTAAGGATCATCGATGATGTGAAAAGATTCCAAAGATGAGAAGGTAAAACATCTATACGTAGATCATCATAGCACTGAATCTTAGTGCTCCCCTAAAGGGGGGAATATGGAGTGATGTAGCATTAAGTCAGAATTAAGTGATTCTAGTAACTGTGAAATGGTAAAGGAAGAATGCGATAAAAATGAGAAAGGGATGAGATTGCACTCATTCAAATCCTATAGATATGATATGATTCTAGAACATTAAGCAAGCACGACGTCAAGGAGAGGAAGTAAGGGTTCCTACCCGAGATGTTATTGAAAGATAAGGAACCAGTGCGAGACGTAAGTTAAGACAAAAGAAATAACCCAAGGAAGATTACGCAGAATATTGATATGAGAATGGGCCAACGAGTAATTAGTAGTTGATTCAGGAAGAGCCTAGTTATGGCTAAACAAGAGGACACAGACAAATCAACAGATTGTGCAAGACGAACATAGTGAACCCCAACATGGGGAATTCAGTCTCGCAGTTATAACATCGCGATCCTTGAGATATATTTAGATAGGAGTTGGGTTAATTAAAGGTAAATGAAATAGAATGCCACTGGGAAGACAGTCAAAATATTAGTTCAGAAGCAACCCTACAAGCACAAGGGCGTAGAAATAAGTAACTACGGATAATTATAGGCATGGAAGAACATTAAAAAAATTCCGTCAAATATACTATGTGATAAGCTTGTAAGTTTACAAGAGCCAGAAGGTCTCCCTAAATACTACAACGAAAGACTAGCTGAGGAAATAAGGAAGAAGGCTTCAACCTAAGCATAGTGACCAAAAGAGGAACTGGTCTTGTAACAACAGTCTCACAACAACATTGTATGAACTCCATAAGGAAGTGGCACCTGGCGTGGCTAATGAGCGGGAAATGAAACCAATAATAATATTCGAGACCATATGAATTGCACAAAATTCCGACATGCATGGGAACTAAGATAAGCTAAGTATGCACGCAACAAGGGGGCAGAAAGACCAGGAAAAGTAATTGCTTATGTTTAAAGAAAGTTGTGATGGAACGAAAAGAATTATTCGATCAATGATCCAGAGTTAGTTACGTTATGAACGCACTCAAGATTTCGGAGCATTATCCATGCAGCATGTATGTTGACAATCATATAGTTGTAGAAGACTCTCGTATAAGTTAAAAGAAAGAATTGAGTCCAGGTCATAGACAAGGGATTGAATTGTTAGATGATGGTATCACGGATATTCCATAGCGTCTATGAAAGGCTAAAGTAATAACTCATATCATGAGCCGCAGATCAGGAAATAGCTTAAGCCTACATAAAGGCTGATTAGAAGGAAGAGGAAACTAAAGATTTACATAAACGAAGTAAATCATGAATCTGATTATTGGACCCAGACAATTATAAACATCATGATTGAGAACATTGCAGGATTACTCTTAGATATCAAAGGTACAAGAGAGAGAGTACAATAGCCATATCCTATAATGGCTCTACGATAAAGCCAGTTAGAAAAAGTACTAGCCTCATAAGAAGTCAGTATGAAGCTCCCACCGTGTTGTGTATGCACAAGAATTGCAAGTATTATAATAGATCTTTAAGTTATGGACGTGAATTATACCTATGTGGAAGGGAGGTCATGAAAGAGATAGAAGATATGATGCAAGATTTTAAAGTAGTAAGGTAAAGGTGAATAACGTACAAGATGCTCAAATGTAGAAGGTTGTGAATAGTCCATACTTCGGAAAGAAGGCTAGAAGCGCTGGGATTCAGTATCCAGGAATGATAGTGGCATCGTCAGTGGCATATATCTTCCAGCCTATGGTTTCTAGGTATCGAGAGGCCTAGTTAAGAGAGTAAAGAAGAGTTTGAGACGATGTGATGTCTCGCTTGATGTTCCAAAATAACACAAGGAAATCTATGGTGCAAGCAAGTTGAAAAAAGGTTGAGAGTAGTATAACTAGATATGTGTAGGTCGCAAGGTAAAGTATAGTAAAGCGACAAGGTTTTAGGAAGACAGGAGTAAGGATAAGAAAGGGCGAGTGAGAAGGTGATGAGAATGGATAAGTCCTTAGGATTAAGCCCATGAAAACAAGAGAGATGATGGTTTCTCTAAGTTATAGAAAGCTTAGTATAGCATGAATGAACTCAAAGGAGTCTAAGACTAATAGCATTTAAAAGAGATGGAATGTTTCCCTGGTCGTAAAATGAGGGTATACTTGTGATAAATGAAGGATGACGTTTGGACCTTCGATTGAGTGATGATTTGAAGGGATTTCATGAATTGTACAGGATTAAAATACCCACGTAAGTGAGTCATATTGGGATGCTATAAAGTCCCATTTGCAAAGATTACAAAACATACGCTAAGAATATATAAAGAGAATCCATAACATTTCAACAAACTCCTACAAGGATTATTATTAAATCAGTTAAGAGAAAATCACATAAGCTTGCAAAAACAAGCTTACGGATGAAGCTCTAAATTCCAAGAATCTCTTTAATTCACTATAAGACTCCTAATTCACAAAGAAACGTGAATTAGAATTAAGCAAGGTAAAGAATTTTGGGCAAAATTTTCATACAAAGTTACACTGTATAATAGCAACGGGATTTGCACTTCTAAGAGAGCACGGTACAATCTTTCTCAAGATTATCATACGGATTTTTCCCTACTTCAATCCGTTGTTACGTGTTTTTCGCAAAAGAAGTTGGTTAGAGGGATTGTTAAGAGAATCGGCTCACGTATGTTAAGGCTATCCCTTCTTTCTTTTGGCATGATCAATACAATACAAACGAAACGAGCAAATGCACAATTTTCATAAATGACTCTATTCATAGAAATACTAGAGATGCTTTTATTCTTGATTCCCCATGTGTCATATTATTCAATCATTTGTTCATGGGTTTCAGAAAATACGTAAGTTGATAAAGTTTGTTTCATGATATTACTCAAAGGCATAATGGTCTTATGACACTCCAAAAGATTTTATTGACGTACTTCTCATGCATTGCATTTATTTACATTGACCCATGACCAGATGGTGTTATATATGCATATATATGTATATTATATGTATATGGGATATAGAAAAAGGTTACGGCGTTATATACGCACCACCACCTGATCAGCTGGTATACGTTGATGAATTACCCACAGTGGCCGAGATGATATGATGGGATGCCCTCAGAGGCTTGAGGATGTTATGAACGCATATACCTATGCATGGTATGACATTTATACGCATATGCATGACATTATAAATATGAAGTGATTCACAGAGTTATTCAGATATACATGTCGAGTCTTTTACTCCATGTTTTTCTCATGTCTATTGTTTACTGATTTTTATTCCTTACATACTCGGTACATTATTTGTACTGACATTCCTTATGTCTGGGGACGCTCCATTTTATGCCCGCAGGTCTCGATAGATAGGTCGAGAGTCCTCCAAGTAGGCGATCAGCTCAGCGGAATATGTTGGTGCATTCCATTTGCTCTGGAGTTGCTTGTTTGGTCAGTATGATTTAGATATGTATTGTTTGGTATGGCGGGGCTCTGACCTAACCTTTATGACAATTATGTATTCTTAGAGGCTTGTAGACAGATGTCATGTACGTAAAAGATTGTATGGCCTTGTCGGCCTATGTTCAGTGTACGAGTGGTTATTTTGATCTTATAGGCCCATATGTCTTAAGTATAAGTTGGTATTACGTGTTGTATTCTACCTATCTCGCGGCAGCCTCTCCGGCTCAGTTATCTATGATAGTATGATACGAAAAGATACGTTATGTTGGTACTCAGTTTAGTAAAGTACCGGGTGCCCATCGCGGCCCATTGGTTTGGGTCGTGACAATAATGATCAACTCTGGTGATAGTTGTTTTCCCCTATAAATACCTCATCTTGCTCAATTTCAAAAGTCTCTTTCTTATTCCTTGCATTCATCTTCCTAACTTTTCTTGTTTTTCTTCATATTTTTCCTTTATTTCCCCCGTTAAAGATGTCTTCACATTCTCAAAACCATTCTTCATCACCTAACCCACGTAAAGTGATGATCGTTGATGAACTTCCTACTTCCACTGCCCCCACCAGGAGTCTGAGAGGTGGCAGACTCCGTAGTTTAGGTTCACTATCCACTCGTAGTTCTACTCCTCAAAGTAGTACTGTTAAACCTTCTTCTTCTAGGGCTAGAACTCCCTTAGCTCCTAGATATTCTTCTAGAGGAAAGGATCAGAACGAACCCATGCGAGAACCTACTGTTTCTGAGATTGTTCCACAAGAGTTTTCCTTTGTATCAGATCGTGAAGCTATGAAAAAATAGGTTTCTTCCCTAGCATCTCTTAATCCCGCTGATCATTATCCAAGCTTGATTACTCCAGGACTTTTTTTTTTAGTTCGACGTGAATGTCATTGGAATTTTTCAGTATTGATTCCTGGTGCTAATCAAAGAATCACCTCTTACCATGCTGGCTTTTCCTTCGTTTACACCTATCCTTTTACTTTAGGGTTTAATCCTCCCATTGACCCCGTGATTATTGAGTTCTACCGCTCACTACAAGAAATTTAATTTTTAACGATCATTTCCTAACAAAGGGACATAAATCCGGTCGTTATAAGTGTATTTATAGCAACCAAATTTTTTTCCAGTCGTTAAAACTAATTTTTAGCTCAATATTAACGAGGGGATAGTATTCGGCCGTTAAAGTATAACATATCCCATCGTTAAATAATTATTAATTAATGAAAAACTGGCGCTAACTTTTTCCTCTTTTTTTCCCAACCCACATCTCCGCCAAATCTCCCACCCCCTAAAAAAGGAAAAAACCCTAAGACGTCGACTTCTCTAAACAGTTCGTATAAACCTAAAAAGCCCAAAGATGTCGACTTCTCTAACAGTTCGATTGTAAACCTTTGTTTTGAACGAATTAGCAGAGAACTGCTTCGACAAATTCAAATAATTAGAGAAACTGCTCTACTCGTAAAATTCAGAGAATTAGCGAACGAAGCTGCTCGCCACCTCCATTGACAACAACTGCTCATCTTCGAGTTTCTTCTCATCAAGGTAAGGTTCAAAATTTTACCCTTTTCTATGTGAATTGAGTAATAATTTCACTAGAAAATGCATCTGAACTAGGAGCAGAGATGAGAGAGGCCAGAGCATAGATTGTGATTTGACTCCCCATCTATTGAGCGATATCTATTTTGAACGAGCAGTTGTTATATCTCTTGTCACGATTAAATCATCTTCTCTAACAGTTTATTCTGAATGTTAATTTTGTACTATCAGTTTCACTGAGTGCCAAGTATAACTATCGAAATATCGGTCCTCCTAAAATTAAAGTTGATAATTTTTAGCTGTTGTATAACTATAGGGTTGTAATCACACTTGTATGTATATGGATGTTGGTGTTCACTTTGGTGAAAGAATGACACAAAATACAAAAATTGTTTCAATCTATATATTGACTGATTCAACGGTGAGGTCTGCTGGTTAATAGCTTATTTCAATCTGATCTATGATTAATTCTACGGTGAGGTCTGCTCATTGAGAAATGCATCAAACGAGTTAGAAAACTCGATATTCTTTGATGTTATGACCTGGTCTTTCACACCTGGAGATCTCCTATTTTTAGGTGATCATGCGTCACTGCTTGCTGCTGATTAGCAAGTGATCGAGCAACAATTGTCCAGTCCTCTCCAGCTATATTCTTTACTGTTCCATCTCTCATACCTATCTTCTCTGGCCCATCAACATTCCCAGCAATTTTAGATTCACTACTGGGAATTCCAAGTCTTGCACCAGATTCACTTCCAACGTTTACACCAGTAGTATGAGCCACAACTGTTTGAGTACCAGTTGCAGTCGTGACCTGCTTTAGTTCCTTTACCTCAGTTGCACCAGCAGTAGCGTCATCTGCTGCACGAACATGCCTAGCTGAATTTTCTGCATATTCATGAGCCACAACCGGTTGGCCTGTCGTGTTTATCATCTGCCCAGTTCCTTGCTCTTTCTTATGTGCTAACTGTTGCACATTTGTTTTTTTAAGATCATCAGTTGCAACCACATTAGTATGTATGCCTTTTTTTCCAGCTTGCACGTCAATAGAAACCTGGGCTGCTAATTCCTTCTCCACTCGATCAGCTGTAGTATTAGTTTGCAGCACTGATGTTGACCAGACCCCATACTTATTAATTGTCTCACCCTTAGATGTTTGCCCGGATTTGCCTTGAGTGTCCAGCCTCTGCCTAGCTTCATGCCTAGAGCCTTACTGCTTTTTGCATCAGTAGCTTCATCATCCTTAATTTGCCCAGTACCATCAACTGCATTACCTAAATCAGAACCCACAACTTTGTATAATATCGCCCAAGCTGTGGTAGCAGGGACATCACATGAGAGTTTAGATTGATCTTTTCCTGCTGACTTTTCAACTGAACCAACTATTGCAGCAGTAGGTTTAGCAGCCCCAGCCTTAAATCGATCACCAGATGCATTTTATGCAACATTAGCCTCCAAGTTTGAACCTACAATAGCTGGTTCACTTCCAAGTTTTTCAACCACTGCTATTGCAGCATGATTCTTAGCACTGGTTGCTCGATCAACCTCAGCTATTGCACTGTCGACCACCCTATGTTGAATATTTCCAGGTTCATTAATTTGTCCAGAACCTGAACCTTTTGAACCTCCAGCTGCAACTCGATCACCCACAGGATCTTTGGAGACCTTCAAATCCTGATAAACAATTTCTGCAATTGGAACAGTTGCCATTCCATCTGCATTCCTCTTCTCAGTCATACGATCACCACCATTAGCAGTAGACAACACATCAACAACCTTCTTATTTTTATCCAACATCTTCCTTAGATCTTCTTGATACTTCTCAATGTGTTGGCCTTCATACATAGAATTTTCATGTTCGTTTTTGTCATTCTTTTCCTGCAGCAAGCGGCAACTATTTTCCCCATGTCTTTGATATTTACAATACGAACAAAACTGAGGCAAATTATCATACACAACTTCTTGATAAAGTTCCATAATCTGCCCGGTCTTTTTATCGATATAGTGAATCCTTACTCTGTTTGGTTTCTTATCCAATAAATCCAACTCGACTTTAACTCTTGCTGTGCTAGGCCTTGATTTTTCTTGTGTAGCTTTATCAACAACTATTGGTTTACCAACAGCTGAAGCAATTGACAGTAGAGATCGTTTGGCAATTAACATAGGAGGCAGATTAGGTAACAATATCCATACAAACGCCCTAGATGTTTCTTCCATAGGATTAAAATCAAGAGTCCAAGGGAAAACTCTAAACTGATGGTTCTCACCATTAACGAGCAGATAGTTAATAGCTTTAGAAGTAGCTACAACATAATATTCATACAAATCAAACCTGATGAGGATGTGCCGTCTCGCCAACCATCCAATCAAGCTGTGTCCTTTAGTTCCAAACAGTGTCGGCAAGAATTTTCGAAGTTATTGCATCTCCAGCCTTTCAAATGAGAATTTTAATATTCGGGCATGATGTAAACCTTCTTCAACAGTGAATTGTTCCAGTTCCTCCGTTGTAAACTTAACAGTAGGATCTCCATGAATTATTTCAATAGGTTTAAGGATAGTTTTTGATGGATTTTGAGCAGTTTGGTTTGTGAGCAGTCTTGTTGCGTATGTAATGGCTTGGTAAGGGTTTGAATTAGTCTCTCCCACAGACAAAGGCTGGGGAGAGGCGTTGGCATCCATGGGAACTCCTAAATCGCCATGTCTAGAGAGAGAGAAGAGAGAAGTGAGAGTTTTTTTTAAGCAATCCACTGAGTTTCATCTCTGTTGCCATGTGTGGGTATCTTTTTTTTTTTGTTATTTCAAGGAAAAGAGAAGTGTGTATTCTCTTAAAGTTGCCCTCACTTCTACGAGTATGTTAGATATGTTGCATATAAATCTAGTTTGGAGAAAGAACAAATGTAGATTTGAAGAATTTTAAGCTTGCTGAAACGTTTTATTTGAGAAAAGAACATTTGGCTTGACTGAAATGAATTAACATAAAGCTTTGAACTCTTTGTGTGAAATTGGACATTAAGGAGGAGGAACATGGCTTGGAGAAACTTGGATTTGTATGTTTCTAATATCAATTCAGCTAATTCAGTTAGTGATATTAAACTTTATCCGAAAGATTTGGTCTATTTGGTTTGACATTTCAGTATTAGTGACTCAGTCTTGGTTGTGCAAATAGATTACACTAATATCATATTCATTATTTGTTGCTTTCACTCTATATGTACTTTACTGAGATACTCACTCTGAATCACTTAATTCACTTTGTAGAAAAATGATTTTGTAACTTCACCAAATCTATTTCTACACTCCAATCTGTTAAGTGATTTTGGCATTCCATATATTGTAACTTCACCAAATCTATTACTACATTCCAATCTGTTACATGATTTTGGCATACCAATTATATGGAGTCTGATGTGGAGTAGTATTTTAGTGAGTTATGAATTAAATCTTTTCATGTTTGAAGGTTGTATTATGTACCTGGTGTTATGGACTCTAATTTAAGGATGGGAATAGAGTGACTCATGAGCAAAATTAGTTATTAACTTAAAGTCACACCAGAGAAAAGATGATCTTAATATCATAGCAGACTTGAAGTGCCAGCATGTTGGTCAAACATGACTTGTTTAGGAATTAAGTGGTTCTGATTTGACTATTCCATGTTTGATTTGTTGAATGAATAAATAAAACATGACTAGACATGACCTCTTTTTCTTAGTCATTTTTTTCTGCCCTAAAGTTTTCAGTTTCTCTACCTGAATTTTTAGTTGTTCACTTAAAATTCTTTCACATTCTTTTCCTTGATTGGTTATTTTGTTTCCTGAAATAACACTATTTTCTTAATCAACAACCACACTATAAGAGCATCAATACAAAGTAAATATTCTTTTAGTTTCCCTGATTTGTAGCTTATTTATAAAATCATTACAAAAAATATTCTCAATTTTCAAAAGTACTAAAAATTTAACATATTTATTCATCATTTATTGTAAAAATTAAGGCTGTTACTTGAGCTATAGGCCAGTGAAATGGTGGATGTGAGAAATTATTCAAACGGATTATAAAATAATCTTCGAAAGTAGATTGACTAATATTCCTTAGTAAAGGTGACTAATATGTTTTTATTCGCTTATGTTCATTTCTTGTTCATTGCTATACTAATATTTTTTGGTTGACTATACATGTATATCAATTTTGTGTATGCACCAGATTATGGCACCTGATAAGCAATGGATGAAACTTATTCATGATCGACTTGATAACGCTTACATACTTGGGGTGGAGAACTTTCTGGATTATGCTTTTAAAAGATTGGGAGAAACACGTGAAATACGTTGTCCATGGGTCAAATATTGTAACGCAATTTCAGGAATACGTGAGCTGGTTAGGTCACATTTAATAGTACATGGAATAGTCCAAAATTATACCCCTTGGTATCACCATGGGGAGAGATTAGGTGAGTCATCTTCAGATTATGAATTTGTAGATGATAATATCAATGAAGAGGGTGATGGTGAGGATGAAATACATGAAATTTAAGAGATTTATATCCCACTTTTGAAGGAGACAATATGAACAATGATGGTGATGGGCAGTTTGAGGAGGATTCAATTATTGAAGCAAAAAAGATTCTATAGGATCTTAAAAGATTTTGAGCAACCATTGTACCAAGATTCAAAAGTTTCTAAACTTTCTACTTTGGTAAAGTTGCTTCATATCAAAAGTATTGGTAATTGGAGTAACGCGTCATTTACAATGTTGTTGAAGATCTTGAAGGAAGATTTATTGCAGGATGGATCAAACTTGCCAGATTCATATTACGAAGCAAAGAAGGTAATTCGGCACCTAGGGCTTTCTTACAAGAAGATTGATGCATGTAAGAATAATTGTATGTTATACAGGAAGGATAATAAGTCTCTTGAGTCATGCAAAGTTTGTGGTGCATCTAGATGGAAGGAGGATAAACGTAGTGGGGAAACCAAATTTAAAAGTGGGAAAAATATACCATACAAGATTTTACGTTATTTTTCTCTAAAGCCAAGACTTTAAAGATTATTTATGTCCTCGAAAATATCTTCTCTGATGAGATGGCACCATGACAAAAGAGTTGATAATGGAATAATGAGTCACCCAGCTGATTCAATAGCGTGGAAAACATTTGTTGAACTTCATCAATCTTTTGCATCCGAGCCTTGTAATGTTCGACTTGGACTTGCTAGCGATGATTTTTAACCATTTGGAAATTCCAAAACTCTGTATAGCATTTGTCCTGTGGTACTTATTCCTTATAATTTACCACCTTGGCTATGCATGAAGAAAGAAAATTTTATTTTGTCAATGATTATTCCTGGTCCTGAGAGTCCTGGAGATGCTATTGATGTTTATCTCCAGCTTTTGATAGAGGAATTAAAGGAATTGTGGGAATCTGAAGTGGAGACCTTTGATGCGTCAACTAAACAAAACTTTGTGTTACATGCATCTTTATTATGGACCATTAATGACTTTTTCGCCTATGCAAATTTGTCTGGATGGAGTACAAAGGGAAAAACTAGCGTGCCCATGTTGCAATAAAGAAACTCACTCAATTAGGTTACAAAATTATAAAAAAAACAGTGTTATATGGGCCATAGACGCTTTCTTCCTCTTAATCACAAATGGAGGAATGATAAAAGCATCATTTGATGGCACTAAGGAGCGAAGATTACTACCAAAACATTTGTCTGGTGATGATATATTTGATCAAGTGGCTGATTTAGATGGGTTACAACTAATAAAGGATCTAAAAAAGAAGATTAAAATATCACATGAGAGTAGGGTGATAACTGGAATAAGAAGAGTATTTTCTTTGATCTACCATATTGGAAAACTCTTTTATTGCGGCATAACTTAGATGTAATGCACATTGAGAAAAATATATGTAATAATATTTTGGGGACAATATTAAATATCAAAAGAAAAACCAAAGACACCATAAACACTCGGTTGGATTTGCAAGCAATGAACATTAGGAAAGAATTGCATCCAATAAAAATTGGGGATAAATATGACTTACCAACAGCATGTTACACATTATCTCCTGAAAAGAAGCACATGTTTTTCAGTTTCTTGAAGAACTTAAAGGTCCCAGATGGATTTTCATCAAATATTTCCCAGTGTGTCAACCTTAAAGATCGCAAAATTTCAGGTTTAAAAAGTCATGATTGCCATGTTCTTCTACAACATTTACTCCCACTTGCTCTACGGGGCATGCTATGCAAATCTGTGTGTGAACCGTTTATTGAGTTGTCTTTGTTTTTCAACGTGCTTGGATCGAAATATTTAAGTGTGGATGAATTAGAGCAGATAGATGCCCAAATCCCAATAACTGAGTGCAAGCTAGAAAAAATCTTCCCTCCTACATTTTTTGATGTCATGGAGCACTTGCCAATTCATTTAGCTAATGAAGCTAAGATTGTTGGACCTTCTCAATATCGATGGATGTATCCAATGGAGTGATATATATACTTTATGAAACCATTTATTCGTAATAGGGCTTGCGCGGAAGGTTCTATTGCAGAGGGATATTTAGCAACTGAATGTATGACCTTATGTTCAAGGTGTATACATACAATGGAAATAAAGTTTAATCACCTTGAACGAAATTATGATGGTGGTATTATAGAATCTGATGGAGGTTTAACAATATTTTGTCAACCTGGAAGAGCTTTAAGAGGTGGCAAATGACGCAAACTTGATTCAAATGAACTAGAGCAAGCACATATTTATATTTTGTAGAATTGTGATGAATTTCAACCATTTCTCGAGTAAGTAATGACTTGTTTCAATAATTTACTTTTATGTACCTTCTCTATTTTTTTCATTAAAATGGCATGTTATTATGCTTTAATTATTTGTAGAGAGTTTTCACTAACTCCAGTTGATACCTCTCAAGAAAATTCTGATAGATAATTCATTGGTTGATTAAAAGAAAAGGAGAGTACTAGTTAACATTTATATTTTTCAAACATTGTGTCATAGCTATTTATTAACATCGTGTTATATTAAGTGGCTAACCAGAATTTTGCCGGTATATTGTTAATTTAGGAGACAAGTACAAGAAACTCGGTCAATAGGTCTAAGTTGAGTATGCATCATCGTACGGGTAGTAAACCAATTAGGGAGATCATTTATGAATTGGTGAGTAAATCTTATAATTCTATTAAGAAACCTCTTCTTTGTTACAAAGATTTCTTTGACTTGTTTATTTTAATGTGAAGGGAGGTAAATATGGTAATCCACCAGATGTGGCAACTTTTTTTTTGAGACTCGTAAGAAGAACAACACGCTTTTCGAACCTGAAACCAATGAGAAATATGTATGTTTATTGATAAATTTCAATTTATATTATTTATTTATTGTATTGTATTGTATTGTATTATTTTAATTAAATTATTTTTTATTTTACAGGATAAAATCAAAGAATTGGTGCAATCTGAATCGTCTCTTGCAAACATTGAGGTTGTAGAAAAGTGCTTTGGACCTCAACGAAAGAGTCATTTAGCTGGATTTGGTGGTGGGATAACCGCTAAGGAGTTGAAAGGTGGTAACTCCTCTAAAACTGCATTGTTGGAAAAGCTGAATGCTACTGTAAAAAAAATATGAATCACTAAAAGGACGTTTGGAAGGGCGAGAGAGTAAATATGATGAGCTAGGGAGTAAATATGCACAACTTACAAAGATAGTCTTTGATCAGTCTTCATCACCATCTTCAAGTGATCAATAGATTGAATCATAAAACAGGTTAGTACATTGAAAATCCTATTTTACTCTATAAAGCGTACCTTTATAGTAACCTAATTTTAGTCCTTTTGGTTTCTTCCGCATGCCCTAAGTTAAATTATCGATTTGTGCTTTGTATTTTCTTGTTTCTTCTGGTATCTTTTTAATTTGTGATCGTATCACCATTAGACGCTGTTAGAAGGATATTTATTTAGATTGTTCTATGTGAAAAAGAAGAGCCAGTGATTAGTAATTTTTCTTTCTTCAGTGAATAGCTTCACATATGAACTCTGTGGTACCAAACAGTTAGCCAGTTGCTCTTAAATTTAACACTCTAATCTTCACCAAAATCATATATTCCTAAAAAATACAGTGTATTGATTTCTCAAATCAATTGTCAATAAGATGAGTTGTTCCATCAAAGAATATAACATCTGACTGAAATTACATATTTTGCATTTGGCTTTAAAAAAGAATTGCTCGATCTTTGGATTGAAGGACTTACTGGAGAAAAGAGAAGTCTCTTTAATTCTGGATTTGTCTAACAACACCTACTGCCTTTCGAAAATAATTCTCTGGTTTGAATGGCGTGATTATTCATCTGATAGGGAAATCATGTCTTTTAGCCTAGAGGATATAAGACTCTCTGAAAATTTCTACTTTGTATCACTGCCTGTAGGTTTTGGTTGCCCAGTTCTTGACATTGTGTTACCATCCTCCTGCTGCATACTCATCACTTCATTAGAGCATTTATATTGCTGCACCGCGTTCATAAACAATTTAAATCACTTAGGAACAAACCTTCTGCTATTTCAAAATGCTCTCTTTACGGCATAACCATTTATCTTCCTAGAAACTCTCTTAGCTCATTTTCAACGCACACGGAGATGTATAAAATAAGCATATAGCAGAAGAGACTAGAAATTTTTTTCTTAATCAATCTGTACGGAGTATGGCAAGCCTACCCATGTCATCTGCCAAACTTAGCAAAGATTGCTTCAAATGGGACTTGAAACCTTAAGGCATCTTTGAGAGAACAGAATGAGCTAGATGTTGCTCCATATCGTCAATACACCTATAATCACAGGTAATCAACATCACAAACTTGGTATGCATTGGACACATAGAATAAGGAAAAAACAGATCTACCTTTCAGCAAAATTCTGCTCTTGTTTAGATAGACGATTACGTAAGTCAGTAGTTTTTTGTTTGTGAAATGCATAATTTTCAATCTGCAGTCAAACGTTAATTACAAAATGAATGAAGATGGGATAAGCTACATCGACACAATGAGAAACTATGCTCGGTCTCTCTGAAAATGTTGCCAGGTACGTGTCGGATCCACCTAAAGCAGTGCATTTTTGGAGGATCCGCCATGGGTGCGGCAATATTTTGAAGAGTTCGCGCAACATAGCTGAGAGATGAGATCCTATCACACACAAACAGAAAAAATATTGCTTTAACAACACTTTCAGTAACTTAAAGAACTATTCGAAACTACAAGTGGTTGGTAGACTGAGGTATCTCTCCAGCATCACGACTATAGATCTTTCCAGAATATGAACTTCACCTTTATCAAAGGCACAATAAGATACTATAATTCACGGCTACCTTTTAGAGACGGGTTCTCAAATATGATCTCAATAGAAACAGAGTTCTATCTGGTATAAGTTAGTCTGGTACTTGGCTAGAATTTAATTGAACTTATCACTTCTTTGGCTAGTCAACTTACTTCTCGTGAACATGGCTATCTATCTGTGCATTTGATAATTTAAGGTGTTATCTGTTCATTTTTCTTTTAACGTGTTCATTTTCTTCTTTAGTTGTTTATTCTTTGTTACTAAACTGGCATAAATTTCTTATTTTAACAGATCAAAAATTTGAAGTCTGAAGAACCTATCCTTGAAGAAAGTGTAGAGCAAGTTGAAGTACAAGAGGTTTTTGGTTCGTCAACGATGGTTTAAAGACGTTGTCTTATGTACATATATATGCTTCAATTTTACTTTTTTTCTTTTGAGGAATTATTTAAAATGATGATTAACTCATCTCACTTTATGCTTCCAGTTATCTCCTGGCTGGGTTTGCGTTATTTTTACTTTTCATTGTTTTAGTAAGATGGAGTTTCTTACAATTTGGATTGTTTTCTGGTAAATATGATACTTTAGTTCTTTGTATTAATAAGATATCAAGTATTTGGTTTATTTTCCAATGTTGTTGAGCGTGTATGAAAGCATATAAATAACTATTACTATTCAGGTAATTTAAATTTTTATTATATTTATTACATTTTCATATTAGCGAAAAAAATGTGGTCATTAAAACTCTTTAACGACAGGTTTCTCAAACAGATAAATGATTATTAACGAAGAGAATTTTGATTGTTAAAAGTAATTATACAATTAACAAAGGAAATATCGGTCTCTAAAAGTACTCTAATTGACTTGATACATTGTTGTCATTAAAGACTTTTAACGACCGGATAACAAATTAGCGAGGGAAAAATCATGTCGCTAAAAAGCATGTTTAACGACCGAAAATTATGTCGTCGCTAAATATCCTTTAACGACCGGATTGTAAGATGGTCATTAACTTTTAACGTCGGGACTTTTAACGATCGGTGACGACCGGATTTTCTCCCGTCATTATCAACTTATAACGATCGGAATTGGACTTTTAACGACCTGATTTCCCCTCGCTAAAGCCTTATTTTCTTGTAGTGGCTACTTCAATGTTTGCCTTGGTCAAATAGGTCCCATCGTGTGGAGAGCAGTTGCTTGCCTTCGCTACTTGTCGGGGTCAGTTTCCGCCCCTTTCACCTTCCGTTACTTGCTCCACTTATATTCTCCAAAACTATTTCGTGAAGGTGTCTTTTCCCTCGTGGCTAGAAGTAAAAGGGTTTTAGTCAGTCCCGAGGATGACCATGGTCGTGGATGGTATACTCGATTTATTGTCGCCCCCACTCATGGGTTAGTGGGTGATGAAAATATGTCTTTCCCTAAAAAGTGGAACTTTCCACATAAGTTTTTTTTCCTCTTATTCCTTTAGTTTTCTTGACGTTTTGGTTTTCTTCTCATGAGTGTATGTTCACTTTTCAGCAACCATGGAAGTTTTCAAAGAAATTCCTAACTTCTGTGCTTGGGTAGAAAAGATGTTGACCGTTGTTCCCATAGATAAGAGATCTTGGAAATTTCTTTCACAAAAATTTGGATGGAAAGTGAAGACTCGGTAAATTTTTATTCCTATAGTTCCCTCTCTCTTTGTTTGTTCCTTTCTTTTAATGCATATACCTTTTCCCTCTTTTTTTAGGGTTTGTCATTCATGGCATCAGCCCCGCTTTTGTTCCTTCTGCGAGGTTCTCCGTAAGCTCTACACAAGAACATATTCTAAGTGTGTCTTCCTATACTGGTAACCTTGATACCCCTCCCCCCCCCCCCCCCCCC